GTATTACTGATGAATTTTTTTTATATTTTTAGGAAAATTTTGTGACTTTTGGAATTTTCTTACCTTTTATGTAATTTGTTTTCATATCTTGTGATTTTATAATATTTGTAAGTAATGGGTTTTATAAGATTTCTGTAATTTTTTGGATATTGTTGTAATTTTGGTTTGGGGTGTGGTTGTAATTTATCGAATATTCTGCATATTTTTTCTAATTTCAATATTTCTATAATTTTGTACCGATTTGTCTTTATCTCTTCTCTTTCCTCTCCATTTCTTTTATGTTAAAAAAAACAATTTTAGAAAAGGTTACGTGTCAATAATTGAGTCGTAACTCATGAATGAGAGGTACAGATATTTTCTAATACCAAAAAAAAATCTAAGTCAATAACATTGAAGAAGTCGAACCAAAAGAAATTCATCCTCCATAAGTAAAACAATTGTTAGGGGAAAAAGTTTAAACCACGAGGAAGGTTCTTTATCATGCTTGTTTCCTTCTCATTCGTCATGTCAAGTAAAAAACATTGTCCATGATATTCCAATTATGAAGTACTTTCATTAAAAAAGGAAAAAGAAAAGATATCCTTTTGTCAATGGTGATGGCCGATAAGCCTTGAACTGCTGTTACCCAGTTCACCCAACGGGGGGTAATTTAAAAAGGAAATCCGACTCGTGGTGGTTGTTTGAAATTGGACCTACACATTGGGCAGTCACAAAGTTTGGTTGGCCTTCCTTTGCAAAATCGTAAGGCCTTAATTTTGGAACGTGGAACAACGTGATCGTATATCTTAAAAATGGCAAAATGATCTTATCATGCTAGTATAAAGATGAGTTGATGCGTTTCTGACCAATGTTTTGAATGAGAAAGACATTTCACTCTTCAAACTTATTAAAGCTGTCGTTAACCACTGACCCATTATCAATGAAATTTTCTTTATAAAAAAAATTCAAAACAGACAGAAAATATTCATTTATTTGGCGGCATTTCTTTTTCTTGACAGAAATTTAGTGACTCGCTTGATTTCTGGTGTACATGACGTCGTAGATGGTTGACGAAACTATATAACTAGCACCCAGGAATACTCCACCTGGCTACGTCATAAGACACGTGTCAAAAAAAGGTTAGCCACGACGATAACTAATGCAAAGCGGTCTGGTCAAGAGTCCCGTGACTCACTCCCATATTCTAGGAAAATCCAGTGGCATACGTAAATTTTGAGAAGAATCAAGGGTAAGACCGCCATTTTGAAATATAGAGAATGAAAGAATATAAATAACACCACAAAAAATATTGATTTCATCCTCGACCTTTGGATTTTCAGGACTCCGATCATAACTGTTGATCATGAGTAAATGATATTCAATAAAGGAGCTAACCAAGTGCTGAGCCGTAGGGTATGCTGACCTCAAGCAAGCCGCCACACTCCAGCCATATTCGCGGAGATAGGATTCGGTAGTCCAAAAGACACGCCAGATATAAACCTCTCCGATATGCCAGCCTGTCATAAAGCACTTGTTCTCCACGCAACGACAGATGATTACACCAATAAACCAGTAAAATTATACCGCGAAGCACCCAATCATAAACCGTTTCCTTCTCTCTTTCCTTCCTTGATCCTTCTCCGGCTACTCTGGTCTTTTATATAACTGCGCTGCCACCACGCTCTAATCAAGTCTCAACAGATTCACAACCAAAATCTTGGACAAACTAGAAAAAGAGAAAGGAAATGAATCGTTTTGTAGTAAGGTCGGTGATGCAAGGCCTGATCAATGGCCGAAGCTACAGCGGAAGCATCATCAGCAATGGACACGTGTACAGGGCCGCCATAGTTGGGAGAGACGTCCAGTTGAGCGGACAACAAAACGGCATGGCTTTTGGAGGTTTTGAGTGGCGAAGGATGATGAGCTCTGCACCCGCTTCGACGGAAAAAGTGCCGTTGGAGAAGGAAGAGAAAAAGGAGAATCCGGTGACGGGAGAGAAGAACGGGCCAGAAATGATGGTGTCAAGTTATTGGGGGATTTCAAGGCCTAAGATCACCAAAGAGGATGGCACGGACTGGCCCTGGAATTGTTTCATGGTAGCATTTTTTCTTTCTAAGTTTGAACTTTAAAACTCGTTTTACTTTTGCAAGAAATGAACAGTTAATAATCGTCTTTTTTTTTTTAAAGCTTTTATCATTCTCTTTAAACTTGATTTATTTTTCCTTCTATGTTTCTTCTCTTATTCGGTTAATTTTGGTAGTAAAATATTCGTTGTTTTTGTTTTTTGATCTCTTCTTGAAGTTTTAATGCTTTTTTTTTCCGTCATTTTTTCATGGATATATTCTCTGATTTTGACTTCTGATTTTTCGTTTCCACTTGTACTCTAAGCTGCTAAGTTGAGTTGTTGCTGTTGATCTTGATCTAAGGTCGTGTTTGGCTGTCATATCAAAACAAAGTAAATGCGATTGATCTGTTCGTTATTCGTTTTTTTTTCTTTTAGCTGATAATCTGAAGAATTAAATGAATAAATTCGTTTGATAAATTTCGAGTAATTCATCTTTAAAAGACACTTAAATGCTTGAGAAATGAACTATTTATTTATATTTTGTCGAAGGATTTTACAACGTATTTCAAAAGATTTTTCAAGAGTCACTCTCAGTTAGTTTAACTTGCTAATTTTTGTGCTGTTTGTTTGTACTCTTTATGTAGCCATGGGAAACTTACAAGGCAGACCTGTCAATTGATTTGAAGAAGCACCATGTGCCAAAGAACTTTGTTGATAAATTTGCTTACAGGACAGTCAAAATCCTTCGGATTCCCACAGATTTGTTCTTCCAGGTTTTTTTTTTTTTTTTTTTGTTTACCTTCTCTGTTCCATAATTACATTATTTTTTTAACTGTTTTACTGCGTTTTAATATATTCTTTATATCTTACGGTTTCTGGATTTCAACTGAACTTTTCATTCGTTCTTCTCACATTTGACGTTTATATGAATGCCGCACTTATTTAGTTCCAAGCTTGTTTTGTTATGTTTAAAATTTGCAGGCATTAGAAGACAGATAGGCTTTGTTTTTGTATGATTGTTGTCTTTGCCGTTGTGTATATATATATATAGTCCAGCATTGATGCTTTTCAGGAATAAAATCAAACTCCATAGTTTCTATGTGGCTGTTTTGTGGGTTTCCTGGTTGAAGCTTATTCGCTCATGTAATTATTTTTAGTGTTTGATCTGGCTTTCTTGAAATGCAGAGACGTTATGGGTGTCGTGCTATGATGCTGGAAACGGTGGCGGCTGTTCCTGGTATGGTTGGAGGGATGCTGCTGCATCTGAGGTCTCTCCGTAAGTTCCAGCAAAGTGGTGGTTGGATTAAAGCCTTGCTTGAAGAAGCAGAGAATGAGAGGATGCATTTGATGACAATGGTGGAGCTTGTGAAACCCAAGTGGTATGAAAGGCTCCTCGTTCTGACCGTGCAGGGAGTTTTCTTTAATGCCTTCTTTGTTCTCTATGTGCTCTCCCCTAAACTGGCACATAGAATTGTTGGGTATTTGGAGGAGGAAGCTATCCACTCGTATACAGAGTATTTGAAGGACATTGAAAGTGGTGCAATAGAAAATGTTCCAGCCCCTGCCATTGCAATTGATTACTGGAGATTGCCTAAAGATGCTACCCTCAAGGATGTTATCACTGTGATTCGTGCTGATGAAGCTCATCATAGAGATGTTAACCATTTCGCTTCCGTACGTATTACTTGAATCTTCCACCTCCATGCTCATTTTTCTTTAACAGATTCATTATGCATGCTTCTTGCCACCCATTTTAACGTTGGTAAAGTATTCTTTTTGTTTTTTTTTTTTCTATATAAAACAATTTGAGAAAAAAGTGAGTTCAATTTAGGGAATTTAGACCTGAAAAAATAACCCATCATTTATGGTCATAATTTTGAATGACTCTGAACGTAAGATAGTGATTAGTATTATGTTCTGCTTCCTAAAGCAGAGCTAAATTCTGGAAAGCTGACTATTGGAAAGACTCCTTAGGTATGGTAAAATTTAAAATTAAGCCTTCATATACTCTGGACTGGGATAACGGAGTACTACTATCAACGTTGATCAGTACACAAGATGTTGTAAAATTTTACTTAAGAAATTTGGTAACCTTGTTGGTTTCTTTGATGGTATGAACGACATGATTATTAGTTGGAATTTATAAATATAATATCTTTTGAAAATTTAATTTGGCTCCACGGGAATACGTCAGTTGGCATGGACTGGATCATGTTTCTCTAAAGATTGATTGATAATTGTTGCCTGTATATGTTTGAACTGTGGTTAGATATTTATTTGTAGCCAAGTCGTAAAAATGTCATATGCCTGAAATGCAGAGCATGTTCGTCCCTGTTCCTCCCCTCTACTCTTCCTTCAGTCTCTTTTGAGCCTGAGAAATTATAATGTTGTCTGCTTATTGTTGATACATGTTGCAAGTCCAAAGGACTGTCCATTTTCATCCCCGAGGTTCAAAGATGATGTTAGTGCTTATAATTTTGGGGGTTGGATATTGTTGTATGCAGGATATTCATTTTCAAGGAAAGGAATTGAGAGAGGCACCTGCTCCACTTGGTTATCATTAACTCTATGTTGGATTGTGGAGATTCTTTTGGAGATGCCTGCGTGATTGCAAACTTGAATAAGCTTTCTCTTGTATATTGTAAGCACCAGGAATATAAAAATAATAGACAAAATCATATATTCCTTCTGCATGTCCACTTCAATTTCTGATTCTTGTAAAAGAAATTCAGACATATCATCAAAGTCGCAACGTACTTTACGTGACAGAGCACAGTGAAAAAGGTTCGAGACAGAATAAATTTGATTTGAAGGCAATGCATGATGCATATCCCTTGACCGCCTGGCCGAACCTCCATAGTCAACATCTCGCTAGGTATGACCATGTTAAACGCCGCTATAATATATATATATATATATATATATTGAAAGTTCATATGTACTCAGGAACAGAGGGGTCAATTGATAAATATTGAAAACTTCATTCCCCCACAGGATGAAAATACGCAAAATTCACTCAATTCTGATCGTCTCTAGACAAAGGATTCTTCTTCGTGGGAATCATTATCACCCAAAAATATCTTATTTAAGAAGAATTGGATGGATCCCTTAACAAGGCTGATTTCTAACAAAGGTTGGGATCTCCCTAGTTATGTAGTTTATTCCATCTACAAGCAGAACGTATAATTGCTGTCATGTCACAATGCACTAGAATAAGGTTTCTTCAACTTTCCTTTTGGATCCACTACAAAATCAGTGTTCAAGTAAATTGGTGATGATCCGTGGGTTTGCTGCTGTTTTAAGGAAAATTTGATTCTTAAAAGCAATGAATTTGTCATCACCCCGATAGAACTCAGACCCATAAGGGCTCCAGCAATTGATGGAGTCAGCATGGTCCCTGTAAGCGGCAGCAACATTCCAGCAGCAATTGGAATCCCAACCTATTATCATAACCAAAGCAGTTTCAGATATTTGCTGAAGGAAGCAAATCAATCCATGAAATGATAGGCAACGAAAGTGAAAGCAATTATAAATGATTAAAAGCTTTGCCTATCATTTGGAAATTGTGAGGGGCAGCAACCGATAGTTCACACCAAGTTTTTTACTGCCTTGCTTTGCTCGAGAGAGTGCCTTATGGCATTTTTTCTTAGGTGCTAATCCGCAAACTTCTACTTCTGACATAAATAGCTCTAACAATGACAAAAACTTACAATGTTGTACGCAAAGGCCCACCAAAGATTTTGCTTCACTGTCCTCATCGTTATCCTGCTTAGCTCCAAAGCATCAAGCAACTGCATGGAGATAATCTGAGTCAATTTATGTGATACACATACATGACAAGGCAAAATATGAACGGGAGTTGATTGTGGAAAAGGCAACTGAATTCCATAAAACAATTTCAGGAAGAACTACTCTCTCCATCCCAATTTTTTAAGTCCATGTTTGATTTTGCACAGAGATTAAGAAATAAAAAAAAAAAAAACTCTTAACTTCACTGTAATTTATATTAAAAATTCAAATTATTTATAATATTGATGTTTAATGGTCTTTAATGCCTTAAAAATGAAAAAATAACAAGAAATATATATAAAAAAAGTGTTTTAGGTGCTCCAAAATTGAAAGATGACATAATTTGTTTTGGGACATCCAAAAAGGAAAAGATAGAAAAAGGAAATGAAACGCAGAGAGATATTCACTGCACGACCACTCTGTTAGTTTGGTTCCAACTCTTTGCTAATTTGCAACATAAAAAAAGCATGGCATTCCAACCACAAAATGTCTTCTCTTTCCATGCTCCTCTAAATTATACTATTCCTAGTGCTCTTGTACATCTTGTTGTTTGTTTTCTTAACAACCAACAACTGAAGCTCTACTTCCATTTTCTTCCTTGAAATGAAGTTTCAAATTTTCAACCCTATATATGTTCTAATTAGTTTCACCTTAATCAACCAGAATAGTAATAAAGAACAAGGAAATACACTGAAATGAATTGCATCAAGTTATATATGCAAAGAGTATTTTTGGCAAATCACATTGTGAAATTCATTTGCAAAACCACAATTAAGAGACCTTTTTTGCATGTAGATTTTGTTTACCCTGAATAAAAATCTTAATAATTAACTGAAAAAAGATTGCACACTGATTCTAAAGTACGCGACTTTAGAATAAATAAATTTACTTTAAGAAAATACCTGTGACAGCCGGTTGCCCATCAATACAATAGAAGATACTTCACTTGCTGCACCAACACCGCCACCCATGGCAACTCCAATATGTGCTGAAGCCAAGGCAGCAGCATCATTGATTCCATCACCAACCATAGCTACAATATTCCGATTCTTCTGAAGTTCACTTACGAACTTCTTCTTTTCATCTGGTTTGACTTCAGACAGCGCCTGGAAACCATGTAGCACCATTTTTACTCGCTAATCAAGGTCAATTTCATGTTTGAATATTGCACATATGATGTAGATGATCATAATGAACTTATAAAAATGGGTAAGTACAAGAGATGTTTTATTATGTAGCAAATAATAGATGGTAAAGCAAACAGAACCATACTCAAAGTTCTGTATGGTAATTTCGGACTAAATCTCTACAAGGGATTTTGACATCTGCCAAAAACAGCCATCTTTCAAAAATGTTGAATCAGTTCCTGAAGTGAAGTGATGACAGTTCAAACACACAAGACAGATGTACTTAGTCGTATATACAAACAGTTATGATTATCAAAATGGATTTAAATAATCTTTGAATATTTCTTTAAAAATTGCCATTTGAGTAATGGTCCATATATCTGTGTCATGTCCCAAGAGGATCTCATTCTTAAAGCATGAGCTCAGGGCTTTGGGATCTATGGATTTGATTTAGTTTGCAGACACGCGTCAAGCAGGCCTTATTTTGCTTTTCTCTCTCCATCATTCCTCTTTAGGTGTTTTAAATTTTAATTTTTTAACCAATAACTACTATCAGTTTCTCAAATCAGGCTTTCAATTTGTTTCTGGGCCTGACCAATAGCGACAAGTGTTTTTCTCCCATAAATCTTTTGATTAGCGGTGTTCTCATTACATACTGCCTCCTCTTTTCTTCTATGCTTGGCAACAAAACCTCTCAGATTGTAAAAGGTTTTTTACCCTTTCTTCAGACTGCATGGGTTCTTAAGTTGTATCTGCATTTATCTTGATATTCTTCTATCAATTCTCTGTCAACTAATGTTAAGCGTAAACCTCAACCACCTAACTCCTGTATTCTTTTTCTCTTTCCAAACTAAAGAAAGCAAATTTCTTCTGATAGTACATATATTCTCAAGCTTTAGCTCTTTTAAGGATACTGGTCCTACGAGAGACTGATTTAGGCTTCATAAGATAGTAGTCTACACAGATCATAACAGTTAACACCTGTCAGAATACATTACCTTGGACAGTGATTTCTGATCTTTTAAAGCCAGAGCACTTTTTGGGTTTTAGAAGTTCACCATCCCTTAGGCTCCTTTTAAACAGTCTCATAATAGTCACAAATTAAAGCCCTTATAACTCAAGGAGCTCTTATCATCTCTTTTTTCATGCAGAGTTCAACCACAACTAGCAGATTATTCCACACCAAACTCTAACCTATATGAATTAGCTGTTCAATCATGGAAAAAAAAATCTATTACCTTCTCCTTCGGGATTCCAACAATTGATGCAACATACTCAGCAGTGCTCCTTTTGTCCCCAGAAAGCATGTACACATCAATTCCTTGCCTATGCAAAGAATCAACAACGTGCCTCGCATCTTCTCTGATCTGATCCTCAAAATAAATAAGACCAGCAAGGGTATTATTAACTCCAACATAGACCACAGATTTATTCCTAAGCTCTTCGTCCACTTCCTGAAACAAAGTCTCGGCAACTCCATGTCTGCACAAAGAAACTCCTATGTTATACAGAAAAAACCTAAGGATCCCTAAATTAGGAGAAAAGTGCTTCCTGTATTATCAACTTGTGGCTAATTGACATTACTAATTTGAATTAAATGCTCTTTGATGGGAAATAATCAAGAGAAATGGGTGGCATTTGTCTATTCCATATGTTATGTCCTAAGAACTACAATCCATTAGTTGGCTTTCTAGGGCTATAAGGGTTTATATAAGCAGTTCGTAACCAAACCCCTTATTGTTAAGATTATTCATCCTTAAAGAAATAGACAATATTATGATCACCATTGAACAGTAAGGTCTTATTAGCTTTGCCAATATTTAGGATTACCCCCCACATCATAAAGACTCAAAACAGGACAGGCAATGTGATTCAGAAGGATACATATAGATTTTGAAAAATGATACAGGCACTAATAGATAGCCAATCAATGAAACAATTCAGATCCAGAACTGTTGACACATATGTTAATCATCAATCACAAAACAAAGATGACTTTCTCGCTAATGAAATTGTTTTAGAGCTCATTTAGTAGTATATCATAGTACTTATTATCTATTTTGATACAAATCATGTCCAAAATTTTATTTGAAGTGACTGACAGAAACTATGTTCACTGAAAGGTACTAACATTTATATGTGAAAAACAAAATAAATAAGTTAAGACATAGCAACATTCTCAAATATAAGCATCATACTCATTAATGACAGCTTTAAGTGCAGAATGCATACAAAAATAAAACAAGGTTTTATCATTTTCAGAAATTCTGAAGCTGCAAAAGGAATAGCAGTATATCCTAAATTAGAGTTGCAAAATGCATATGAGCAAACACATGAGTACACTACCTCTGAACCCACTCTAATGTCCCGACAGACACCTTTTTATTATCAACAATAGCTACAGCACCAGATCCAGGTTCCTCAGTAAAAGTTCCATCCGCAACCTGCAAGAATAGCCTTTTGCATGAAAATTACAAACAATGGATAAATGAAAGGCATAATCATTTCCAGGCAGATGTTAGGAGCATTGGCAGTTTCCAGAAAATGGAAAGAACATCACTGTCATTGTAAGTTGGTGGACAGCTTCAAGCATAAACGAAAAACTTGCATCAGTGATAGAAAAAGACAGGAAAAGTCTGTAACATTGAAAGCTCAAGGTCTTTGTTCTTTAGGTAAATTCTTGCAGTTCTTATTGCATAATCCAACCAAGGAATTGGACGTAAATCTAAACAGAAGCCTGTATTAAAAAAAATGTACCTTTATATTTGCACATTTTACAGCCTGGGCAGCTTCCACGATCGCTTTACCAACCGGGTGAAGAGTATTTGATTCTACAGCAGCAGCTAACTTGAGAACCTCACCTTCTGACAAAATATTCTCTAAATTCTGTCTGCATCAAAGCATGTAGTCTATCAGAATCAAAATGATAATAACCTAACAAAAACTGCATATCATCTTTCATGAAAACATGATTGGTTCAAACTATATCATATCATCTGACAATGTAAAAAGATATTATAACCGCAGCAACAACCCTCATAACTACCGTGAACACTTCTAATATGACTTCTTTGTCAGTAAAATTCTTGCGACTTTCAACTTCCAACTTAGACATGCACTGGGGATATCTTCTAACCAGCCATTTCACCTCTTCTCACTTTGCTATCATAGACTGGTCTCTTAGCAATATTACACTTCTAGACTGAGGCAAACTAAGCATAATAAAATGTCCAGATAGTACCTATACCACCAGCTAAGAACTGTACTGGCTTATTTAGGCTACATTTCCTTCACACTTGCTTTTTGATGTTTGCTTTCTCATATTTTACTGTAGAATAAGAGCAAAAGAAAATAGCAAACTCATAATAACATGAACATATAGTTAAAAAGAAAACCAATTTAAATAAAATGGTTCCACATAGAAGAACAATCGTGCTTTTATTATCATAAAAGTTGGTTTTTTAATTTAAGCTCCTGAAAATTATCTATTGCTTTTGTTTCTTTTAATTCGTCCTTTTAGAAGTAATAGCAATAGTGACAGTCAAATGAAAATTTAAGTTTTTAATGACCTCTTAATATGTTCATCAGGCACAATACACCGGACATAATCTAAAAATCAAATCTACAGTAACTATATCTTTGGACAATAACAAGGGCAGCTCATAGGTGAAAAAAGAAGTCCAAAGTTTACTTAAAGTTAATACGCAATTATATGGACCAAATCGTTTCACTCCACCTAAAAACAAAATGCTCATGCTTGTCACCTTGGCTTAGCCTGCAGCGTTTTCTTTTTTATTAATAAACTCAGAATCATTTAGTGTTAAAAAAAAGTTTCTGCAACCACTCAACCTTGAATCACTATGATCCATGCCACCTGGAGTTACAACTTTTGTCACAACAGGTCTGCCAATAGTAAGGGTTCCCGTTTTGTCAAATACAATTGCATTCACCATAGAAAATTTCTCTAAAATATTTCCACCGCGCAAAAGCAATCCTCTTGTTGCTCCTAATGAAGTTCCAACCTGAAAAATACACAATAGAGTCCATAACACAATATCAACCATAATTTTGACTAAATCACTAGTCTGACAGGTGTACTGTGTGAATTAAGAGGTCACCAGCATAGCTGTAGGTGTAGCTAAACCCAGGGCACATGGACAAGCAACAACCTACATCAAGAGATAAAATTCAATAGCATGGTACAAGACAAAGTAGGATTTAAGCACTCCATAACTAATCTAAAAGTAAAGGAAAAATAAAAAGTTATCTAGAAAAGGCACCAACGTATCTACATTTACATCAGACTATGAAGTAAGCAACAGCTACAGTTGCATTTAGACTTAGCAATATCAGCAAATTCAATATTTTTTTCTGAACATATGATTTCTAAATTGTTTCTTTTTTCTTTCTAGTTATTTAAAGCATGCAGCATTCAGTATGCATGTAGATTCCCATGGATCATACCAGAACACTGCAGGAAAGCTGTAGGGCAAGTGAAACTGCAGCTCCTTGAGAAAAGGCTGCCGGTAAAATGTGTTCACCAAACAGATTCCAGAACATAAACGTAGCAGCAGATAGAGCCATTACTCCATAAGTAAAGTGCCCAGACACCTGGAGATTCCAAAAAAGCTTTTGAGAATGTTGAATTGAGTGTCCACCAAAAGAAAACAACACATGCCATGGTTCATTTTCTTTCTCATAATATCCATTGATAACAAACATGGTCTAAGGGTACAACTCTATTCTGTTGAATAATCATTTCAATTCTTGATATTGAAATAGGAAAAAAAAAAGGAGTGAAGGGGGTTGGGGTGGAGGGGGAGGGGCAAGGAGGGAGGCATTAAAGTTTCATCATCTTGGCATCAACCGCAGGACATCTGTAAAATATAATCAAAGTAACGGAAATTGAACTTTTAAACAATGAAGATCAGAATCAACTGCCTTCACTTTCTACAACCATATATAAAGCTAAATGTCAGTAGGAATAAAGGTTGAGTTATGGATGTGACATGGATGCAGGAAAAAACAGGTTTACTGTTCCTGTATCGATTTCACATAACATCATTTCCAAATTTTACTTTTAACATGAGATGCTTTCTGGAATTATTTCTTTAGATTGAAGCTGAAGGGCTGAAGAGATTATGCTCTAGAAAATTACGTTGAGTAGAAGAAAAGGTTGCCAAGTGCAAAAAAGTGACCTAACAGAATTATTCAACTAAAGGGGTTCTGAAACCATTTAGTATCTGAAACTGGTGTTGGAGGGCTCCTATTTTCCACCACTAAGCAATCCAGGGTAACCATGTGAAGGATGATTCTAACAACACAAAGCTCTCTGACAATATTCCAACAAGAATTTGTATCATGAACTACCACTGAGGTATGAAATAAACCCTACAAAAAGTATAGGGTGCAAAATGAAGAACCTTATCAGCCAACCGCTGTACAGGAGCTTCCCTGCTCTGTGCTTCCTCCACCAAACGAACAATGTCTCCCATTGCAGTCTCACCACCAGGTCTCCGCACTTCCACTGTAAGAGTTCCATTAAGGTTTATGCTTCCAGCTGCAACTTGACTCTAGCACAAATATAAGTTTCACTTTTGGTATAATAAAATGAAAGGAGGCAGCTACTAGCATTACTGTACTGACTTTGGATGATGCAATTCAAAGATGAAAAGTGAATCAGGTAGAAAGGGAAGAAGAAGAGATGGGAGAAGGAGTTCTCTGGGCCATGTAAAAGGAACAAAGATGACAAATTTCCATGACAAATAACAATGCATGTATTCTACATTGTTATAGATACCATCTGAATCTTCAAAAAAACAAGAAATAGTTAGAACTGGAGCAATACCCCAGGTTCTTTGGTAACTGGCATTGGCTCCCCTGTGAAACTTGACTCATCAATGGTGCTTCTACCTGCTCTGACTATTCCATCAGCTGGAACACGGTCCTAGAACAATAGAACAATATTTGTCAAAGAATTAGCAAAGTCTGCTATAAGGAAAGAGATATCATGAAATTGTTTAGCATTTTGATATTTTCAACAGACTCTAGTTAACACCGAGAGTAGGATCCTAATGTTTTAAACAAAAAGGTAGCATCATAACTTTTAAATTCTAAAAGTTGGGAAGGAACAGCACTCTTTGATGACTTCAGCACAAAAAATAACACAAAAATGAATATTGAACAGGAAAGACAAAATTATAACGAATGTTAAACATCACCAAGCAGGAAAACAAGAAGATATGAGATGCTGAACTGATTGAAGCATGAGTTTATTTTACTTACTCCAGGTAGTACAACAATTTGGTCTCCAACAGAGAGACTGTTACAAGGAACTTCAATGATTGAATCATCAACCATAAGACGAGCTTTTGAAGGCAAAATACTAAGAAGTCCGGTCATATCACTGGCTGCTTTGATTTTTGCTCTCTGTTCAAGATTCCTTCCTAACAAGACAAATGCTATTAACATGACCGGTTCCTCAAAGAATGCCTTCCAACCCTGCATACCATTATCAGTTAACGAGAACTGAAGTCTAAACCAAATGCGCCATTCATATGCTCTCTACACCACACCTTAATCATGCATCAGTGAACCAGAACGATCATAAAACTTATTGATATTATTAGAGCTTAATCAACTGTGACTAGTTGAAGGATAAAACTTGTTGAAATTCTACAGTTTAGTAAGGACAACCTGCGTGCATGAACCAAATATTATATAAAATATGGCTTCAGCCAGAATCTAACTAAAGAGAAGGCTGGCTTATCCAAATTAAAAAACAAAATATTTGTGAGAATTCCATATATGCAATACTAAGTAGAACAAATTCTGTACCATGGATGCTTAAAAGACATAACTACCCCATCTTTCTGCCTTTTTTTTTTTTGAAATTCTTTCTGTCTTTTTTAAATTAGCAGAAAATGGGCAGTCACATTTCTTTGATAAATGGCCACCGATAGAAATCAAAGACCTACATGTACAAATCTCAGCAGCCTTGTTGGTCTTATATCTCGTCAAGTTTCTGGTAATATAAACCCTAGATTCCATTTTTATCCTCTCACAACATCTGCTTGGGAAGTAATCCTGAGCTATGCCATACCAAACACAAAGGGAACTATAAAGGCCCTCAATATATTTGCTTAAAACATGTTTTAGTTCATTTAATTATACAATCACTCAGCAGCTATGATTGTTAGATGCCAGAGAATGCATTAAAAAAGTGGACTGGAAATCATCAACTCCATAATTAAAAGTAGCTGTGTACCAGTGACGGTTAACTAGGAAAATTTTTTAATGTCTTTTCTTCTACCTCTCTTGTAAGTTCCAATATGTGGATGCCATTTGGTTCTTTCATGCTAACTGCTACCTTATGTATATCATGGAATGTGATCTTTCTGGTGTTCTCAACTCATAGAAGCTGTATTTTAGTTCAAATAAAAAACTGAAACAGGGGAGTCAAAGAGAATGAAAAAGAGTGTCACCAGTCAAAGTTAACCCTAAACTGGAACTACTCCAGTGTGTAGTTATGATAATCTTAATATCATACTCTCTGACTCTAAATACACAATTACTCCCAAGGTTGACACTAATTAAGATGAAACATGTGAAGCTGGCAAAATTTACTGACAAACAAGAATTTTGTCAGTAGGAAAACAAAAGTCATAACATCAAAAATTTTGAAGTCTCAAACATCTTATAAACAACTTAGATCCAGAACCAAGTTATTTAATTTACAGCATTTCATATGTTGATATGTCTAAACAAACAGAAGATGAATACTGACAGACTAGACATGTAAGAATAAGTATCAAGTCTTACCCATTTTGGTATTAACACAGCTAACGAACTAACAGCAAAAGAGGATAAAGCCCCAAGACCAACTAAAGTGTTCATATTTGGAGCTCCCTTCAAAAGGTTTTTTACGCCCTCAAGGATAAGTTGACGCCCAGGGCCAAGGAGCGTAAACAAAGACAATGTCAAATGGAACCCTGTTGAATGAAATGCATGCATCCAAGAAGCCTTAGCTCCTAAAATATGGGCGAGATGGCCAATAAGGCACACAGCACATAAAGCCCAGGAGACAGCCAGCTCACGACCTATAAAAATGTAAGCAATTTATCTTGAATTACTTAGGAGACAATCATTAGCATGCTACAACAATCTGCTGAAAAGGACAAAGAATGTGAAAAGATATCTACCACTTTCTTTTAAGCGGTTACGCTTTTCTCCCATCTTTCTCTCAAAAACTTTGAAGAAGTTATCTGGACCTGAATCTGAATGAAGGAAATAAGCCAAGTAGTCCATTCATTACTTAGATTAGAAGGAACTTATGGAATAATTTACAACTCTGTAAAACACAAGTAACATCTGAAAATCAAAAGAAGGGAAGTATAAAAAATACTTGATCGGAAAATGGCTAAACTTTGGCATCAAATAAACCACTCAATGAACAACAAGACCAAACAAATCCATTCATCGTTAAATTAACATTTCACTAACATGTAGCACAACCTTTTCTAGCAATTAATCTCAGAGCAAAACCATAACAAGAAAGCCTTTTCCACTGGAGATAGCTACATATACACACTCCACAATAGTGCTCTATTTAGGACCATATCCTTGCTCTATCAAGTATCAGATGGTGTTGGTTACAGTATAGGCAAATAAATAATGGACCACAGGTTTACAACACTTGGATGACAATTATGGGAAATAAATCCTAAAAAATTTCTGTGCGGAAGAATCTTCTGCTAAACCAGAAAGCCTAGTTTATCCATTTGATAAGTCTTAAAAGAAAGAACATAAGACACATTGAGACAGGTAATGTAAGGGACAAACCAGGTAGATGGTACATTGTTCATTCACTGTATGTAATTAAATTATTAACAATATCTAGCAAACCATAAAAAGCAAAACTTTTAAAAGATACACAGCTACAAACAGAGAAATGATCTATTTTTGTAATCCTGAAAAGCTAAATCTGAAGCTGAAGCAATCCCCTCTTAATATACCAAATTGTTTATTATACAGCCCATTTTTCACGCGTACAGGTCACTCTCAAAAGGTTCAGAACAGAACCTCAGAAACAAAAGAAGATAGTGAATATTCCTTCACAATCTCCAGCTGCAATACAACAACTTTGCTGTAAATTAATACAAAAAAGTATTCTTGTTAATGTCTTACTGAAGAATTACAATCAACATTTCAAGAATGAAAAGACCTCAGTTTCCTGATAAACAATAATTACTATAAATGGTCACAACTAATTCTTCAAAAGATTAGGGTTCTTCAGCACCAGAAAATCCTCTCTCCAACCAAATTATCCAAGTGGCTGCTGCAATTGACCTATTGAAAGGAGAGATGGCAATATTAATTATATCTATAACTTCGAAGCCTATATTCTCACATCTAAAATGTGGATGAGAGGCACAAGTTTCAGAGATATACCATAAGGAATTATGGTTGCTCTTCAATGAAACCTTTTGCATTATTATGGTGAGACATCTCCGTCAATGGCTTCCTGACCTGCCACTAAACCCACCAAACTTACATGTAGCATATGAAAACCTGAACATATGTTATGCCTGTCTCATTTAAAGTTAGAGGTGCTTAATGGATCACCAATTAAAAGTCATATTATATGATTTACTCTCAAAGACCAGATACAAATTTTGGTCTAACATGTACAATATTTCATAATCCTATATGCGAGGAAATAGATTATACCTCAATCTATTTCCAAAGGGGAACTTCAGAACCTACGGTTAAACTTCAATGACTAAGACTTGGCACCTCCAAAGTTACAAAAGGATAACCAGAAATTTCAGAAAAAAAATAAACGCCTCCAACAGCCATGCGCATGACACCAAAACGTAAGAAAGGGATCCTTAAGAACATAGCTCTTCCGCACTTTGGGCTATGGTATAATGTTTATAGCTATGTGACAAAAAGGAGCCTAGATAAGCAGGATCTGAATAAGTCCAATGACCCAATTACTGATTAGTCCTCAACAGCACATTATTATCATGACCAGACAAATGTTCAAAAACTAGCAGCACATTTTAGCGGATCATTATGATGTTATCAATTATCAAACAATTCACCAGTGCAACCCATAGGCGAAGTTCACTAATCAAGCCAATAATCAAGTAATAGGGTGAAAAGAAGAATGCAAATTATATATAAACAACAAGAAATTGGACGAGAATGATGATCAAGTTGCTTATTACCTCGAAGGTTAGATTTAAAACCACAGCTAGTCAAATGTCTTGCTAGTGCCTCTCCTAACTCTTTTTGCCAATTGGGTACATCCATGGCTTCGGAAACTGGCCAGACTATTGCTGTCTCCGTAGTGAGATTGACACTCGCAGAGAACACCTGGGGCTGCACAATAAAGCAAAAACACAATGAGACTTATAACTAACTCTATAAGCCACAGAAGTAAAAATTGAGACAACTTACTTGACTTTCTAGTATTTTCTTCACACTCGCAGCACAACCTCCGCAAGTCATTCCCTAAAACACAGAAAATTTTGGGGCAAAATTCAGTAATCTGGCACCATTTTTTTTTTATTTTTAATTTAAGAACCGAAGATGGAGAGAAAGAAAGGGAAATCATACTCCAACATCCAGAATTATGACATCGGAAGACAAGGCAGAGAGCTCATTAGCCCCTCCCGCTCCCAGTTTCGCCTTCGAATCTCCGCCGCCAGTTCCTTCCCTGCCGCCGCCGCCGCCACTCCCATCACCGCCACCAAACACACCGCCGCCACCGGAACCAAATGAGGCGGTGGAACTGGCGACGCACTCCAAGCGGCGGGGTAAGCGTCTTGGAACGGAGGCGGCGCACGAGCTTCTTAGTATAGGGGAATAGGAGAGGGAGGCGACAGGGCTAACGAGACGGCCCTGAGCAAAGAGACGACTCTGGATGCATCGAGCGATAAAAGCCGGGGATTTGTTGCTGGAGAAATGACGGTTTAGGGCCTTGGAAATGGAGAAGAGAGTCAATGTCGGCGCTGTAGCTGAAAGCGTTGATTCCATCTCCTAAGATCGGAGTTGCAGCATACAGAAACAAAAGAGAAAAGGAGAAGAAACTCTCTATGACTATTTCTAGTCTGCAATGTAATCCAGATATTGAATTTGCATTTATGGCCCAATCTTTACACTCAGAAGGGCAGTCTGCGCCATTCTATGCTATTCAATTATTTGAGGGGGAGCGGGAGTAGTATACGGATAAAAGAGCCGTTCAGTGTTTCTTTTTATTATTGAGCTGTGTCTGGTATAGAATCCGTATTCATCCAAAATTAGTCGTCCTCGTTTTTCACTAACACCAACCTTTTTCTTATTTCTTGCGCCTTTTTTTTAATCCACGTTTTTTTCATGTAATTAAAAAAAAGATAAATAACAAAAAATACCTTTACTAAAATAAATTTAAGTTCCAAATCTGGCGTTTAATTATCTTGTTTTTGATTAAAAAGTTTTTGCGTTGTTAAAAATAAAATGACTAATTTTTTTAATTAAACTAATATTAATAATACGATAAAAGAATTTAAGTATAAAAAAGAAGAAAATAAACTAATTAAATATCAAATTTTAATCTAAAAAAGTGGAAATATTAAATTTTTATCTGAACAAATCTATTCCACTGTAAACCACAAAAGAGTTTGTTATTATTTGCCCTCTGAAATATATATATATATATATATATATATATATATATATATGTAGACTAGTACTAAACTGCCAGTAAGAATTAAAATAATCAGTAGATAAGGATTTAGCATATATAGAGAGAGAGAGATGAGAATAAAATAAAATAAAAATCTCTTCCCCATTCCCTATGCCATGTGAGGTATTCAGATCCAAGATCTAAGCAAAGGTGCACGTACAACCAAACCACCTAACCCCATTCAAATAAATGCAAATAAATAGAATGGGGACATGTGACTCCATCCCTAAATTCTAAGACCCACTTGTCAGAATAATTAATGAGTGAATGATTGGGAACAAAGATTTTCCAGTGGAATTGCTGTGTGAAGGTGTGAAAAAATCACATACACCATCCCTTCAACATTATAATTACAAAGAAGCTTGATTTGACATGCACCTGTTTGTAACAGTGAAAAACACAATACAGGAAAACACAACAGGGAGAAGCATTTCAAAGCTTCCTAGTGAAATGATTCCACCTTATATTTGCAGAAGAGAGTTGTGAAAGCAAGGTTTGAGTTCCTAGATGCAACTTGATCAGAGCATTACCACTATATCGTCCGCCTTCTTGTCTAACCGCCCTTTTCATCCCTTATTTTGGTTGTCAAAAATTGACCATCATACCATGTAAGTCATGCCCACCTGCATCAGATGTGAATGGGGCACGCTCAAATTTGCAATACCCCTCCTGCAATTCTTTCTCAGGAAAGCATAGAAGTAATTTATAACTAGTTTCTTGATAAACCAAGAATCCTTTCTTGCCCTAATATCTCCATGACCGAGAAGATAAACAACTCCAGATTCCTTGGCCTTGCGTATAAAAGACAACTCCCTCTCTAGGCTATGCTCAGCATCAGACATTGATTGATCTGCAGGGGAACCTGCCTTCACCTCCTCTGAGGTGCTTGCTTCTGAAATGGGATTACTAGTGCCCCTGAAGTCAGCCAACAGAGGAACACCAAGTGAGTAAACACTTCCATTAGGAGCTATGAGAACTCTTGAGAAAGAGTTATCCTCCTCGGAATCTGTATCTTCATCTCCATCACTTTCCAATTGCCGTTCCTGCGCTTCCCGACGAATGAACTTCTCGAGGCTCTCAATCAGTAGCTGCTCAAATGTCTGGTGATTTTCCTTTCGGACATCCTTGTAACCATACCTGAGAAAGTGGTTAATCAGCCAACTGAGGGAATGCCAGAAGGGAAAAGGGTGCAGAAGCACGAAAAGGAGGAAGGAATTGTGTACATGGGAGAAAAAAGTATCAAAGATGCTTGTTCCAAAGAGTTTTTGGGGAGGAATAAATTAGTTCTGCCTTTTTCAATTTTATTGCTGATTTAATTTGAAAAACTCCCTGTCCAGGTGTCATTTTTACAATGCTAGTTAGTTTTAATGATAAAATCTTGCACTTCAAAACTAGAACCTGCAGTGATGATAGCTTCCAACTTGCATGAAAAGGACTTGGACTATAAGGCAGGATAATGGAATTAAAGTTTCCAGCCAGAGCATCTTACCGGGCAATACACCGAAACATATGGTAACCTTTTGGACAGACTCGCCTGAAAAGAAATCTTTCACTCTGAGGCACCACAGGAACAGGAACGTACTTTATACAGACAAAGATTATCATGGAGTGGATAGCAGGGAGTGTGGTTAGAAAATGGCCAAATATGGCTGGTACTCCTTTCACCAGCTCATTATAAAGCAAACCTATGCCAGGAGCTCTGATTGTCCCAAGGTTGCCGCCTAATTCTCGCATCAAATCCATTGACAGCTTTTGCTTCACTTCAGTTTCATACTTAAGCTTGCTCCCATAATTCCAGATGTACATAATTAAAAACATTATCACAGCAAAAACCAAAACTATCCAACTTCCATCTGTCACACTCCATAAAACTGAGGAGAAAAAAGTCAATTCCAAACCCAGGAAAAAGATCACAAAACTCAGCACAATTATGATGTTTATCTGCCATATGAGAAGCATGACAATGGTGACTAAAATTGTGGTCATCATCATCACACCCAGCTCAGCAATACCTGAAAAAAAATTCAAAACCAGAAAGATGAGAAAACTTATGTAACTAAAAGCAAGGAAAACAATACAAAATCTCTTTATAAAAACATATTAATCATTAGATTGACATCAGACAGTCTTAGGCAGCTTGTTTCATCTATTTCCCCAATAAATAATTGCATAACATTTCTTCATATTTTAAATAGAACATAGGTTTATGAGTCACATGAAACCAAAAATTTATTCAAAGATAACCGAAGTGATAAGACTGTCAGTAAAAAGAAATGAAATTAAACTATGAAGAAATATTACCATATGCATTTCCAATCTCGTTAATGCTTGAGATAGAGCACACAAAGATCAGGCAAACTACCAGCAGAAACCAGTTTATAACAGGGATATAGATCTGACCCATGAACTTTCTAGATGTATGAATGATTTTAAGACGCGGGAAACAACCAAGAGCAGTTGATTGCTTTATGCATGAAAATGTGGCTGTTGTCATTGCTCGGCTGGCAATCAAGGCAGCAATGTTAGCTATGAGGAAGATTGGCCAAAATGCACCACCTACATGGATTGAGACAGTTTTTCTCATTTAGAGGAAGGCCAGCAAAACTATATTCCAGAATGAAAAATAGGTTTTAATTCAATTATTTGATGACCCCATAAGCCATAGATGATAATACAAGAAACCTACTTGGAATTGAGGAAAAGAAAGCCTGCTCGGCATCATTAGGATTTCCAATAAGGTATGCTGCTTGACCCAGATAACCCAATAACAGGCAAGGCAAAACGAGAAACACAAATGTAAGCTGCAAACAACCACTATCACACAAATCAAAAAATTGTAAGAATGAGAAGAGAACTACCAGGAATTTCGTCAGTCATTGTAATGTATAAAAGGACTTATGAAAGCCAGAAGATTCAGTAACCAAGTTTCTTGCTCAATTACCTGAACTGATCGCACAGAAAAGTAGCAAAGATCTGCAAACATTGCCTCAGATCCTGAAACATAAACCATCATCAGCTAAGAAAGATCACATACAATGACCATTAACATTCTACTCCAAATTCATCAACTCTGAATCAAACACATTGTTTAGCTGAATTTCATGAATTCTGTCAAAAATTACATTCCAAGTGCAGCAAACTAAGCATTAAAGAGTAACATCAAGAGTGGTTGGTGTAATGGGATATAACTTGAAGTAAAACTTCTACAAAGCTGACATTGCTCCTCGAGCAAGTTCGCGGATTGAAGGAGAAAAATATTGCAATATGACAATCTTGGAAATTATCTTTATGAATTGAAGGAAATTAAATTAAAATGACAACACCAATCAACCTTGAAATACAATAATGTTTTATAATGTATGTACCTGTTGCGCTTAAAAGACAACCTCCAAGGGCATACCAAGCCTTAACTGAGTTCCTCTTGAAGTATAAATAGATGTGAACAGGATTAAATGCCCTCCAGACACTGGCATCATACTTGAGAAGATTATAAATTCCAATGCCTGCTAGAGAACAAAACCATATGAACAAAGCAGGGCCTACAGCAAGTCCCACTTTACTTGTTCCAAACTTCTGTACACTGAACAAAATTACAAGAAAGGCAACTGATATCATCACCACTTGATCTGCACATAAAGAAAAGGAAAGAAGGAAGGAGTATAGTTAAACCAAAATATGGCCATTCACCGGTAATAGTAATGCAAATCAGAAAGGAATAATACACTCTAAGATGTAAAGGGCAGGAGGGCAAAATATAAAAGACAGAGATATGGGGCTCCATCACAGCACATTGTTTCCGCATCCATGAAGATGTAGGATTCTGCCCAAATTTTAACCTAGAGTTAGCTAAAGTTAAAACCATTGTTACAAATAGCACATGATCAAGACAAGGCTGCCGAAGAAACACGGTGAACAATTCTTGACTCAGGATCACTCAAAAGCCATGAGACCTACAATCTAGCCAACTGCAACACCACCCCATACTAAATGCAGAGAACAAGTAAATTTTAAGGGAGACATGAGTTAGATTCTGCAAAAGATTTCAACCCAACAAGGTGAATTGAGAAATGGAAAATGTCCTCGCAGAGAAAAAATACTAGCAAACAACGAAAATAGAGCACGCAAAGCAATAATGTTTTGTAAAGTTGATAACAGCATGGAATACTAGCTTACCTTGTTCAATTGCAGCAACTCCAACCTTCAGGCCACCAACAGCTGACATTACTACATTAGGATAAATAATTAAATAATAAGCACAAGGTATTACCTAGACATTTAATAGGCAAATCCAATTTTCAGAATATACATCTAGAACAGTTATGCTCCATTCAATCGCAGCATGTATGGATCATTAAAGAAAACAAGCAAGAAGAAAACCATATGGAAACCTGACATTGCCGGTGTAACAACCCCATCAGCTATCACCATAGAAGTGCCAGCAAGCACTAACATCAGAAGAAGTTTCTTCAGAGTCAATGAAGTCTCTAGTCTCTCCTTTATTTTGAGCGATCTCTCGAGTTCAGCAGATGGCACCTTTAGCCTGAAGCTTGATATGCGGGTATCTGATGGTAGCTGATTTGGGAGAAGACTGACCTTAGCGTGTCGGCAGATCAATGAGTATAATGCAAAAGTACCACCTTCAAGAGACAAGTCAGAAACGATATGAAACAATTGAGATGGAATATATATTAAACATATATGTTTAAGACCTGTATAAAAAGCTCATGAATAGAGACTTGCTTGGGAACATCCAGCATACCTTCACCATCATCATTTGCCCAAAGAACAACAAGGACATACTTGATTAGGGGGATCAAGATTAAGGTGTATAGAACAAGTGATAATGCTCCAATAACATCTTCATCTCCATTGATAGGTGCTTTGCTGAACATCACACTGAAGGCATATAACGGACTTGTTCCAACATCACCAAACACAACTCCGAGTGTCTGAAAGGCAAGTATTATTTTCCTTCCTATACCAAAGTCCTGCAATCAAATTTAAGAAGACACATATAAATGTAAGCAGAAAACAAACAGCACATGGAAGAATTTAAAGAAAATCTTATCTCATACCCAGTACCATGGTTATCATAGATAAATATAAGAAAGATTTTCAGTCAATCCAACATACATCACAAGAAAAGAGTTTATTATTTGCAGCAAGCAAAAAGATAACCTTTCAATAAAATAAAGCTCATCAACAACTAGTGAAAAGTAGTCCAATCATTGTAGCACTACATAATGAAAACTACCAGCAAAAACAATAATTTGCTTAAAAGAAAAAGGGAATGATATTGCAACACTTATATCATAGTTTCTCAATCTTCGATATTGTAATTCAGAAAGATTTCCCAGCATTTCCCATAATCTTATGATGGAACCTAGACCTGTTTGACACAAGTTTATGCACTCAAAGTCTACTCTTAAAACTCACAACCAGTTACAGTTATGGTACAAACTAGCAGTAGAATCAGTATAACAGTACAATAAAGGTGAACTCAAAAGGTATGTCACGAGTAACGAAATGCTACCTTGAGCTTATCATGTGCAGCTTTTCTAATAACAAAATAAAGCAATCAAAAATACAACCACTAGGCAGTCCAGACTCCAGAGACAATAGAAGGGCAGCTGTCGGAAGGAGATCCCTGAGGGATGAAATCCAAAGTTTGTGAAAGGAAACACATACTTTTCTGAAAACAAAATCACTGTCGCCACACCAAGTCCTATTTATTATTATCCATACTTAGTTTACATTCAAACTCAAAATAAAAAATAATAACTCAGCTAAGTTCTATTACAATATTTAGAAACTAAAAATATTCCTGTAACTTACGGCTGTCACAATTTATGGCAAAAATCAACAAAACTTTTATCACCTTAATATCCATTTAACAACTGAGAACATTTAAATAGTCATAATGTCAAAATTTTCATTCATCCAGCACGAACATGAAGTAAAAAACTACACTTCTTTCTGCCAAATATAATATTTGAGCTCGACCTAACAAATAACAGCTTATTAACTTTCTTAAAAACCAAGCAAATTATTAAAAAAAAAAAAGTATGCGCCAATGCGATCAAATTACATACCAAATCAATTCAAATTTTCAAAATTACAAACAGCTAATAATTTTATTACTTTAGAACAACAAATATGTATCGAACAAGCTAAATTAGAAATGAAACGACAATGTACCTCGTATTCACTTCTGTGTGTGCCAGGGACTTCGAGAGCTTCGACGTCGAAGGAATCGATCCGTGGCCCGGTGCGAATCAAGCGCTGCTCGGGAGTATCCTCGTCTTCGGAGTCTACTCCAGCTCGATGCGGCGGGTCGTCGTCGTCGTCATCTTCCTCGTCATCGATCTCGGAGTCGTCTTCGTCTTGGAACACCCAACGAGATTCTAACGAGTCCATCGAAGCTAATCCTACGCCGTTGATCTCTCCTCCTCTCTCCGACGATGATCCTCCGCCGCTACCGGCACTGACCTCCTCCGCCATGAACAAAAAAGTAATTTATAAGAGCTTCAGACGAAATAACTAGAAAAAAAAAGGTTTAGAGGATTGAGGATTTGGAGATTTTAGGGTTTCGCATTTTGATTTTTGTTGGATTTGATTTCGTTTTCTTTCTACTTTTTTTTTGGCAAATTTCGGGATGGTGCTCGAAGTTCATGCGGTAAACGGAAATGGAAAACGCTGTGTTTCAGTATGCGACTATGCGTGATTTTTTAACTACTGCATTGCTTTAGCTATTAAACCAGAAAGAATGAGAATATAGGAGGAAGTTGAGTTCCACGCGCATAAGTGGTTATACGCGCCGTTGGAGGATCTGGATTTTGACGTACGCGCGGCTTATCACGGACAGGAACGAGTTTTGCTTCGCTGAAAGGAAAGAAATGTACCATGTAAAAGTATAAATTTGTATGAGATTTTATTAAATAACCACGGCCAAACAAAAACATTTAAACTCTTTCGATTTTTTTTTTGTTTTCTTGTTAAATATAAATAGACAACAAATAGTAAAAATAAATAAATAGTAAACATATTAATAAACATAACTTATATTTTAATGTTTCAGTTTTATAAATTAAAAAAAAGTATTTTAAAAAGTTTTGACTTAATTTGTAAATGTATTTATAATACACAACATTTAACAAATACATGAATAATATTTTTTTGTTTTTAAAAACAAAGGAGATAGAATAACTTTATTTATTTATTTATATAAACAAAACATTTTTTAAAATTAATAAGAGTCTAACTTTAGAATATTTTCAAATATGATAAATAGCTGTTCTTATTGTGTACTCAACCTTTATTATTCTCTATAGTATCTTGAAAATTCGTTGGGTCTATGTGGCAGAACAAACAACTTAATATTAAAGAACAAATCCTACATTAGATTTTGTCTTACCAATTAAGTTTTATCTTGGGATTTCTTCTATGTTGTTTCTACTATATATTTTATGAAAAGAATAAACAAGTAATTTAGGCAACTTTAATAACAAGTCACTTTTAATGAAAAATAAAAAGTATAATCCCAAAATAAAAGAATAAATCTAATTTTTTTTATTCAATTTCAATAACATGTGAGGATACTTTTTTACACTGTAATCTTCTATTGGAAAGACAAACAATTAGAGAGTGTAGGAAAAATAATTACAATTAATACCTATGCGAAAATATTCTATCCATGCATTACATTTGAATACACGCATACACATTATAAAATGCATAAAGGATACTTGATCACACTCCTGAACTTTATCTTTAAATGTAATTAAGGCAATGTACTTTAATTTCAGTGTAATTAAGCCAAATATATTACAGAATTAAAAATATCTCATTAACGTTGGATTAGTTGGTAAAGTTATAGGTTGAATAAAATTAAATATGTTGACATGAAATGCCATAGTGGAAAATAAAATTGCCAAAGTAGAAAATTTGCTATTTTTTCTTCTTTCCTTATCATCTATAGTTTTATTTTTATTTGTTTTTTGTCTTGATTTTATTTAATAATCTAAATTTTTTCTTTACATTTTAATATGCAAAAGGGAAGGAAAAAATAGAGAAAAAATGGAAGAAAAGGAAAGAGAAAGTGGAGAAAGAAGAATATAATTATATTTTTTGCCCAAGCCATCATTTTTTTATTTTAAATAGGTGCCATCTCCATGCACATTAAATCACAAATAGGGTTAGCTAGTTGTTTTTTTTTTTCTTTTTGGTTTGCTAAATTTCAACCTCAATCAATGTTTAAGTTTATAATTTCGTCAAATTTCAAGTACATAACCTTGATTGGGCTAAATTCATAATTTCATAAAAATTTAAATATGAGATCACAAATTGACATTTTAGAAAAATATACATTAATGGAGTTGGATTAACTTCAAAGTGTCACGGACCATGGATTCGTGATCAAACCAACCTCAATAACCATCGGGCTAGTAAGGAATGGGGGTTTTCGAGCATTCAACACACTGGCAGAATTGGACCACACATGTAGGGCATAGTGAGATGCGTCGTGCATTAGTGGGACGTGCACATGTGGACCATGTGCATGAAAGTGATTTAACTTCTGTGAGGCTATCAAGAAAAGTGATGGCTAAAGTAACATCAAGTTTGGATTAAATGTGTTCTAAAAGGCATAGAACACTTTTTTTTTTTT